AAATATTTTCACAAAGTAGGTTAACTGAAGAAGAAATAAACAGCTTTAAATATTTTTACAAAGTAGGTTAACTGAAGAAGAAATAAACAGCTTTAAATATTTTTACAAAGTAGGTTAACTGAAGAAGAAATAAACAGCTTTAAATGTTTTCACAAAGTAGGTTAACTGAAGAAGAAATAAACAGCTTTAAATGTTTTTACAAAGTAGGTTAAGTGAAGAAGAAATAAACAGCTTTAAATGTTTTTACAAAGTAGGTTAAATGGAGAAGAAATAAACAGCTTTAAATATTTTTACAAAGTAGGTTAAATGGAGAAGAAATAAAAAGCTTTAAATGTTTTTACAAAGTAGGTTAAGTGAAGAAGAAATAAACAGCTTTAAATGTTTTTACAAAGTAGGTTAACTGAAGAAGAAATAAACAGCTTTAAATGTTTTTACAAAGTAGGTTAAGTGAAGAAGAAATAAACAGCTTTAAATGTTTTTACAAAGTAGGTTAACTGAAGAAGAAATAAACAGCTTTAAATGTTTTCAAGAAAGTGGGTTAACTGAAGAAGAAATAAACAGCTTTAAATGTTTTCAAGAAAGTAGGTTAACTGAAGAGGAAATAAACAGCTTTAAATATTTTCTTGAAAAAAAAATATATTTTACAAGGTAAATCTTAATCTTTACACAAATACTACACACAGAGTAAAGAAGGCATGAACATGATATTTCAACAGCTTGGATATTTTCTGTTGATCAGAGCTGTATGTGAGGTTATGATATTTCTGTTGGTGTCATATCTGTATGCGACATCATGATATTTCTGTTGGTGTCATATCTGTATGCGACATCATGATATTTCTGTTGGTGTCATATCTGTCTGTAAGGTCATGATATTTCTGTTGGTGCCATATCTGTCTGTAAGGTCATGATATTTCTGTTGGTGTCATATCTGTCTGTAAGGTCATGATATTTCTGTTGGTGCCATATCTGTCTGTAAGGTCATGATATTTCTGTTGGTGTCATATCTGTCTTTAAGGTCATGATATTTCTGTTGGTGTTATATCTGTCTGTAAGGTCATGATATTTATGTTGGTGTCATATCTGTCTGTAAGGTCATGATATTTCTGTTGGTCACATCTGATTGTTAGGTCATATTTTAATTTGTCATCACTTCAGATGTCTCTAATTGTCTAATTCTAAAAGAAGGATCGGGAATAGATGGTGGGGTGGGGCAAGGGGGGTGAGCCGATCTGATCGGGGTGAATGGAAAGTAACCTAAGTAACGGCTAAGTATCAGTTTTTAATGGTTAAATCTCAGTTTTTTAATGGTTAAATCTCAGTTTTTTTGAATGGTTAAATCTCAGTTTTTCAATGGTTAAATCTTAGTTTTTTAATGGTTAAATCTCAGTTTTTTAATGGTTAAATCTCAGTTTTTAATGGTTAAATCTCAGTTTTTTTAAAATAGTTCTATAGCTTTTGAGAAAATATTTCTGGACATTAGAGTTTATCTGAATTTAAAAACCGCCAAAAAGTTTTGGTGAAATCTAGAACTCATCTTGACATTTATAAACAGTGTAGCTGTGGAGTTTAGAGAACAGATGTTGAAGAAAACAGAAAAAACCGAGATGAAAGTGTTTTTTTCTCTCCCCTTGATGCTGAACTCCTTAATGAACAACATGGCTACCGTCCCAGCCACATCCGGGAACGAGGATGCTATGTAGACGACAGATATTAATAGAACCATCTTGATCAAGGCTTTGTCACGTGATGAAGATTTATTTTTAGAAGATGAAGATTCGTAGCGCCAATTAAGATTTCGAATAAATGCTCGGATCAGTCCAGTGGTGAAGACAACGATTAAAATAAAGGAGGAGATTTGTATGAACACTGAAATGAACAGGCTTACGTCTTCCAGGAGACTAGCGTTAGGCGCCAAAATTAACCCAATGGTGGTTTGGTTTAACCGCGGGTTAAACCTGGGCCCTATTTGGTCAGCGATGAAGGCAGGGAGAAAGCATAGGGTTATGGAGCTGAAGATTCCTGTGACGACAGCGACGGTTTTAGCGGGCGTGATGATAACCTTGACCTTGAGCGGCATGACGACACACATGAACCTTTCAAACGCGATGTAGGTGGTCAGGCAGGCGACGATTCGGCTAAACAGGACGTGCGGCCAGCCCAGAACCACGTAGTCAAGGGCATTGATGAAGTCCATGTCGGCTACTGACGTTAGTACCATGGGGTTGAAGATGACGCTGAACCCGATCATCGTTAGTTGAACCCCCACGTCAGCTACAGCCAGCCCGAAAAGAGAGATATTTATAGTTTCGGAAAATCCCATTTTAATATAGACGACGATGTTGACGATGTTGAAGATGATGCCGAGTGTGCTGACCACAGATGGTACAAGGACCAGGCCGAAGAAAATAAACTGGAAGAAAGTTTCGTCTGACATGGATCCAACGACGTCACTGTCGAGCGCTGCATCTTCTATTTCAGTCGATTTATTTGACGCCATTTTAAAACGCCAATCAACCTGGATATAAACTTGGGGGGGGGGGGGAGAAGAGAAACGAAAAGAAAAATAAATAATAAATTCTATCAGGCATTGCGTTTTTTTTTTCGACTAAATATATTTAAATATTATAATTTCTAAAAATTCCATTTAATAAAAACGACGATGTTAATTATGTTAATCCAAAAGAGCTAACTACAACAACATGACGAGACTAATGAAACTAAATGGGAACCAATACAATCAATACTTATCTCCGCGTTTGTAAAAGCTACAGGTCGCTGCAATACAACATGCACACAAAGTTTCAATAGTGTGCTTATTTTCCGTGTAATTTCATAGCAAATTTAGAAATCAAAGCATTCAATAAACAGAGTTATCTATTAATCTTGATTAAGACATATTGTATCAACCCGTAACTGAACACACAAAAACTAAAATCTTTGTTGAGACATATTGTATCAACCCGTAACTAATCACACATAAACTAAAATCTTGCTTGAGACATATCTATCAACCCGTAACTAAACACATATAAACTAAAATCTTGCTTGAGACATATGGTATCAACCCGTAACTAAACACACATAAACTAAAATCTTGCTTGAGACATATGGTATCAACCCGTAACTAAACACACATAAACTAAAATCTTGCTTGAGACATATGGTATCAACCCGTAACTAAACACACATAAACTAAAATCTTGCTTGAGACATATGGTATCAACCCGTAACTAAACACACATAAACTAAAATCTTTCTTGAGAAATATTGTATCAACCCGTAACTAAAAACACATAAACTAAAATCTTTCTTGAGAAATATTGTATCAACCCGTAACTAAAAACACATAAACTAAAATCTTTCTTGAGAAATATTGTATCAACCCGTAACTAAAAACACATAAACTAAAATCTTTCTTGAGACATATTGTATCAACCCGTACTTCACCACACATCATCTAAAACCTTGCATGAGTTTTACAATAATGGATTGTGTGCACTCAGTGTTTCTTTCAGTCATCTCTTCTCTAGGGGAGAAAAAAATCAGAAATGTCTGAAAGAAACAATGTTTACAGTGGTACATCAAGATAAGTACTTAACTAATGCAACGCTGCTCAATATATTGTTTTTCTCGAATTTCATAGCAATTTTCGCAAATGAAGTTAATTGAAATACCAATCATCCATCCCAGCTTGTTGTATTTGTTTTGTGTAAGGTAAGAAAAATATATTCATAAATGTAGCATTATGTATCAAAACTTAAAAACGAGAATATTAAGATATGAATTTGTTTTATAAAGTGGATTTACCTAGGGTACCGACCAGTAGCGTACGCAGGCGGGGAGCAGGGGGAGCGGCCGCTCCCCCTCTGGCCATTTTCAGCAAAGTGGCGCCTTTTTTGGAAACTTTTTAAACTCAAAGTTTTAAACAATGATATTTGTTTAAAAAAACATTTGGTCGGCACATCTATGTAAATCACAAGATTTCTTTTCATGCAGCAATTAAGCATTATTGTACTTGTTTAATAGTGTCTACGTTTACAACACGTATTAACAGCTGCATCAGTTTGCCATTCTAAAAATAACCATTACGATGCATTGCAATGTTTAAAAAACCTATACGATAGTACCACTTGGCAAGAGGGGTGTTAAGTTTAAGGCAACTGTATAATGTATTTGCTTACGAATAATTGAATTAGAAAATGTTATACATAAAACTTCACACATAATTACTTTATATATACAGTTTGAATCGTGTGATTAATTTAAAAAAATTACAATACAGAAACAAAAACAACTGATGTGGCACCTCTATTTAAATTTACTTATGAGCGAATTGCGTAGTGGTGGGGAAATTTTGTCGTCATCACGATGAAGTAGTAGTATTCTTACACTTTGGGCGATAGTGATTACGATTACAAAATATATGAAACAGTTACAACCCCCTCCCCCATGGACCCCTCTGTAAAAAAAATATTGTCATAATACCGCTGCTACTTATTTAAATCTATTTCTGTAATATATATTTGTGTAATATATATTTGTGTAATATACATGTATGTTTAGAACAGTCATCTAAAAACTGACGCTATGTTCGTTCTCAAATGGTTATCCCCCCCCCCTCCCACCCTCACCACCACAATTGTGTAGAGCGACATTAATGTCTCACCTAGGTATACACCGGGTTCGATAATTGACCTAAAGCGAACGGACAGTGGTGAATGAAGTTGAACCCACCCCCCCCCCCAACCCACCCCGAACTGATCTGTTAAGTACATGTAGAAAAACGGGTAATGATGTACCAAAATACCATGCCGCCAGAAAATTAGCTTTTTAAACGTAAAACTCTGTAAATATTGTTTTTGCAATTACCAGTAAAAACTTGTGTGATCAATACAGTGATCTAACCCATACCTATCACTATGCTAAAAAATGATCTTTAAAGAACACAAAGAAGTAGTAGTTAATTAAATACATTATCTGAACTAAAAAACGATAATTAGTTAAACGTAGGTTGTTATTCCAAATGTTTTTCTAATACATCGAAAAGCGTGGTTTTATACCAACTCTGATTTTAAAAACTTTCATTATGCTGTAATACTTTAGCATTTATGATGACGATATATTAAATTCTGATTATAGACAAAAACATTTTGTAAACACGATTAGTTTTATACAACTTCATTATAATCTAAAGTAATTATTTATTTGTTTTGACATTTCTAATTAAATGTGTAGATATATACATATTTATATTAAGAGAGTGATTATTTCCTCCTATTTCACTTGTCTTAAATAATTATTTTGCTGATTAGCTAGATGGGTCTGGTTGTTGCAATTAAAATTGATCCAACGTCGCTACCTGAAGAGAAAATGTCCCCATGATGCACGGGGGAAGGGGCAACAATTCCTTGTTCCTGTTCAGATTTAATCGTTACTCGGGAGTAAGCGTAAGATTCGCAGTGTGTTAGACTTGCTGGATCAATACATAGATTCGTCAAGCAATGTGCTAAACCTGAACATATTGTTGTTGTTTAATACATTGTTGTAATCTGTTTTTAAATGTATTTTGTTGTTATCGGTTGCTCAAGCTAGATGATTTGGTAGTGGTGTTGGGAAGGGGGGGGGTGACTAAAGACTTAATGTGGGAAGCATAGTTAAAAGAAATGAGGAAAATAAATGTAAAACATGTGATTGTACACACTGATTGTTCTTGGACAACAATACTGATAGTGGGCGACCACAAAGAAGAGTACAATAGCGACAATAGGTGACCGCAAAGTACACCATAATAGTGATAATAGGTGACCGCAAAGTAAACCATAATAATGATAATAGGTGACCGCAAAGTATACCATAATAGTGATAATAGGTGACCACAAAGTGCAACACAATAGTGATAATAGGTGACTGCAAAGTACACCGTAATAGTGATAATAGGTGACAGCAAAGTACACCATAATAGTGATAATAGGTGACTGCAAAGTACACCATAATAGTGATAATAGCTGACCGCAAAGAAGACCACAATAGTGACATAAGGTGACCGCAAAGTACACAACAATAATGACATATTTGTGACTACATAGTAGACCATAATATTGACAGTGAGTGACCACAACATATACCACTGTAAATCACAATTTTCTTGTAGAGCCACAAAAATTTAAACCCATCTGTATACACAAGACATATATATATATATATATATATATATATATATATATATATATATATATATATATATATATATATATATATATATATATATATATATATATATATATATATATTTCAGTCGTAGCGAAATCAAATTACCAACACCAAGTTTCTTCAGGGTTTCAAAAAACTGAAGTTTACCTCTTGACAACAACTTAGAAAGAAATGTATGTATATTAACGTTGAACTTTGCTGAACTTTGATAACTCTGGTGCAATATGGCCAGGACTTCCACACTTGATCAGCCTCTTGTTAATATCTGTTTCTGTCCACTTTACCCAGTCACGTGAGACTTAAATTTAGATTTATCGATGCGTTACTACTACGTTTATATTTAGGAGATTGTAGGAAAATGTTTCGTTTATATTTATTGATGTTTGACTCCGCGAGCATCGATCTTTAATTAAGAAGTAATGCACGTTGTTATCATAATCGACCCTGTAAACACGAGGTAACTATTAGAGCCAAACAAATGATCACTTGAAATTGAAATTGTTTCAAAATTGTTGACAGCAGTTAACAGACATCGGAAAATTCGTGGATGTTGATTTGATTGCATGGAAAGTGGTGTCGTGTAATACGCTGTAATAAGGCCGACGTCACTAACGTTATACCAGTCGTAAGACAGTTGTTTATAATGCCTAGAGGCACGACTCCTCTTCGCTTCTCGGTGAGGCCGGCTTTAATTGGAGAAAAGAAGATCACATCATTAGGTAAGTTCAACCCAGTACAGGAAGGTGAGGTACGAGTTTACCCTGCGTTCAGTGGGGTGAAAGATAAGCCTGGTGCAGAGGCATAGCGACCCCTACCGGGTCCCACGGCGAACTTGTAATTTGGCGCCCCCGTATGTAAATATATATATATATATATATATATATATATATATATATATATATATATATATATATATATATATATATATATATATATATATATGTATATATATATATATATATATATATATATATATATATATATATATATATATATATATATATATATATATATATATATATATATATATATATATGTATATATATATATATATATAAATGGTTCCATGACAAATGATCTCAGACTAAATATCTCAGACTAAATATCTCACGGACAAATGATCTCAGACTAAATATCTCAGACTAAATATCTCACGGACAAATGATCTCAGACAAAATATCTCAGACAAAATATCTCACGGACAAATGATCTCAGGACAAATGATCTCAGGACAAATTATCTCAAGGACAAATGATCTCACGGACAAAAGATACCAGGACAAAATAT